CCCTAACTCATTTTATGAAGCAAGCATAACCTTAATACCAAAACCAGGAAAAGACATCACTCAAAAGGAAAACTACAGACCAATATCCCTCATGAATTTAGATGCAAAAATCTTCCACAAAATCCTAGGCAATAGACTCCAGCAACATATCAAGGAAATCACTCATTATGACCAAGTGAGTTCATATCAGGTATGAAAGGATGGTTCAACATTAGAAGAACAATCGTCATCCACCACATAAATAAAACAAAGAAAAAGAACCACATGATCACATCAATTGATGCAGAAAAGGCATTTGATAAAATCCAACACCCATTCTTGATCAAAACTCTCAGCAAAACAGGAATAGAAGGGACATTCCACAACATAATAAATAAAGAGCATCTGTGCAAAATCAAGGAGCTCTGAGCTCTGGTACCATAGTGCCTAAGGCACTTGACTGCTAACCAGAAGGCCACTCCTTGGAAGGAAGGTTGGGCAATCTACTTCTGTAGCGATACCACCTTGAAAAACCCAAGGAGGGGTCACTATGAGTCGGGGCCAACTAAACAGCACATAATAACAACAACATACAAAACCAACAGCCAACTTTCTTCTCAATGGAGAGAGACTGAAACCATTCCCCTTGGGAACAAGAACCAGACAAGGATGCCCTTTATCATCCCTTCTATTTAACATTGTATTGGAAGTCCTAGCCAGGACCATAAGGCAAGAAAGGGAAATCAAAGGCATCCAAATTGGTAGAGAAGAAGTCAAATTATCCCTATTTGCTGATGATATGATCCTATACCTGGAAAATCCAAAAGACTCAGTCAAAAATCTACTGGAACTAATTGAGAGATTTAGCATCTTGGCAGGATACAAGATCAACGTTCAAAAATCAGTTAGATTCCTCTACACCAGCAAAGAGATTGCTGAAAAAGAAATAAAGAAATCAATACTATTTACAATAGCTACCAAAAAAATATAAAATACTTGGGAATAAATCTTACCAGGGACACAAAAGACCTGTAAATAGAAAACTATAAAAGACTACTTCAAGAAACCATAAGAGATCTACATAAATGAAAGAACATACCATGCTCATGGACAGGAAGACTGAACATTGTGAAAATGTCAATTCTACCCAAAACAGTCTATATATTCAATGCAATCCCAATCCAGATCCCATCAACATTCTTAAAGAATATGGAAAAACCAATCACTAGCTTTATATGGAAAGGAAAGAGACCTCGGATAAGCAAAGCACTATTGAACAAAGTAGGAGGCCTCACACTGCCACATCTCAAAACCTACTATACAACCACAGTAGTCAAAACTGCCTGGTATTGATACAATGATAGACACATAGACCAGTGGAACAGAATTGAGAACCCAGAAATAGATCCACCGACCTACGGTCAGCTGATCTTTGACAAAGGGCCAAAATCCACTAAATGGGGAAGAGAATTTTTGTTTAATAAATGGTGTTGGCAAAACTAGATGTCCATTTGCAGAAAAATTAAACAAGATCTGTACCTCACACCATACACAAAAACGAACTCCAGATGGATCAAAGACTTAAATGTGAAACCTAAAACTATAAAGTTCTTCAAGGAAAAACTAGGGGCACATTTAGGGGCCCTAATATATGGCATAAATAGACTATCAAGCATAATCCAAAATGTACAAACAACAGAAGAGAAACTAGATGAATGGGACCTTCTAAATATTAAATTTTTATGTGCTTCCAAAGAATTCTCCAAAAGAATCAAAAGAGAACCTACATATTGGGAAAAAATATTTGGCAATGACATATCTAACAAGGGACTTATCTCTAGAATTTATAGAAAACTCCAACACCTCAACAACAAAAAATGGGCAGATGACGTGAATAGACACTTCACCAAAGAGCATATTCAGGTGGCCAATAAACATGTGAAGAAATTACCATGATCATTAGCCATTAGAGAGATGTGAACCAAACCAACAATGAGATACCATCTTGCCCTAGCATTAATAGCAAAGTTCAAGAAGACAGAAAATAACAAATGCTGCTGAGGAAATGGAGAGATTGGGACTCTCATACACTGCTGGTGGGACTGTCAAATGATATGGCCACTGTGGAAAGCAGTATGGTGATTCCTTAAAAAGTTGGAATTAGAAATACCATTTGACCCAGCAATTCCATTTCTAGATATATATCCTAAAGAAGTGAGAGCCAGCACAAGAACAGATATAAGCACACCTGTGTTCATCGCAGCACTATTTACAATAGCAAAACAATGGAAACAACCTAGTTGCCCATCAACCGAAGAATGGATAACCAAACTATAGTATGTACACACAATGGAATACTATGCAACTCTAAAGAACAATGTAGAATCTGCCAGACACTGTATAATGTGGATGAACTTGGAGGACATTATGCTAAGTGAAATAAGTCAGTCACAGAAGGACAAATATTGTGTTAGTCCATTATTGTAAAAAGTCAAGGAAAAGTTTATATATGGAAGGCAATTTTCTTTGTTGGTTACCAGGGGTGGAAAGGAAGGGGAGGAAACACTGATAGGTAGAGACATGTATTGATTTGAGTGAAGAGAATGGCAATGTACCAAATGTGAGTGATTCACATGGTAGCATTGAGGAAGAAGACAGAGAGAGGTACATGAGAGGTACAGGCAACAAAGATGAACCCTTTTGCACACACGGTACTGCATTGTCAGTGAAGGCAAACATGGATATATGGGTGGATATATGGGTGGACAGGCCGAACTATTAGCTATGTCTATGCACGGGTGAGTGTGCCCAAGACCATGAATAGGGTTTCCAGACAATGTTTCTACAAATATACTGCTATGTTCTCTAAGAATTCCCAGGTATATATAGCTGACAAAAGTCAAGGTTGTAGTCACTTCTTGGGAACAGCCAGCTACCCAGAAAGAGTGAGTAGTTGGACCTGTGGGCTCAGGACCATAGTCACAGGGGACATCAAGCTTAATTGGCATGACATACTACAAATTGTTCCACCTCCTACTTCGGTGACTGGGATCTTAAAAGTGTTCAAGGAGCCATCTAGATGCAACTCTGGGTCTCTCCTTGTACAGAGCAAAGAAGAATGAAGACAACCAAAGACACACAGAAACAATTAGTCCAAGTGACTGGTACACCATGCGATCCTCAGCCTATATGACTATGAGACCAGAAGAACTAGATGGTGCCTGACTATCATTGTCAACTACTCGGAGGGGAATCTATGTAGGAGATCCCAGATAGAGTGGAGAACAATGTGGAACTAAACTCAAAATCATTTGGAGGAAAACAAAAAGTGTGGGGGGGACCAGGTTTGCTGGTCTGATAGAGCCTGGTGGAACAACTGAGATTATGGCCCCTAGTTGCCCGTCAGGTCTGGAATGCACCCACACCTGTGGCTTCCAGGCAAACAAAAGACAAGCATATGAGGTGAATATTTACACTAGGTATATACAGTCTTTGGACAGAACAATCATGGGATAACAGAAAGGCTGTATATGCACAGGGACATAGCTGAAGGGGCAGGAGTGCATGGAGGGAAGGACACAGGGAAGAGGCAACTATGGGGAAGAAGTTTGAGGGGAGCTGTTGCACTGTGGTAAACTGTAGTCAATGTCATGAGACAAAGTGTATGTGAACTGCTGTATGGGAAGTGAATTTGGTCTGTAAACTTTCACCCAAATCCAATAAAAAAATTAATTGAAAAAAAAAAGTAGGATATTATTTCTTGATTCAGGAAACAACTCAGTTCATAATGTAAAAACTACAAATATGATCAAAGTATTTACATTATAGAAAACAAGAGCAGTCATTTAAAAAATGCATTCTAAATTTGTCAACTTTGAACACTTATTTTAGGAAGATTTTGAGAGATTTCAAAGTAATATCTAAAAATGATCAACAGTTTTATTTTTGTAAAAAGAGATTCCTAGCTTCTGGCAGTTGACTAGAACTATGGGCTGATACTGTTTTAGATTTTAAAACTTATATGTGCAAAATTCTCAAGTGAAAATTCATGATAGCACAACCCACTGAGATGCAATGGTTATTTACAACAAAAACTCTGCAATTTGTCCAAGTCCAAGGATGCCAGACTGGTGAGTTACCTATGTTGGCTAATAAGTTCGCATAACTTATTTTGTTTTATATACTCTAACCATTTATTAAACTGGGAATTTCTAATAGCTAGCACTTTTCTACATTTGAAATTTGAGAGAAAAGAGACTCGTGTTCTATAGTATACATTATTACAAAAGAGTTCATTATAAACTTAGAACCACTAAAACACCTTTTCAGTGTGCAGTATTCTCTAATGATTAGGATTCATGATCCTTTCACGAAGTGCTGTGGAATTTTTCTTGTGGAAAATTCAGTTTTTAGTTTTTGAGTTTTTTTTTCTATCCGAGGAGATTCCCTTCACTCAACCCTGTCCATCAGAAGGTTTCTTTTACCAATAGAACAAGTAGAAATCCATGCCTCTATTTTGGCTCCCAAGTCAAGTGTAAAGTCTTTTAATCTAGAAAAAAACTCAAACATATGTATACCAAAGGGTGGAGGTTGTTTTTTTGCACCCTATTTGCACACTACTTATACAGTCCAGGCTTTCTGGGTGGCTTTGCTCACGTGCTGTCACTGTGCATGTAGCTATCATAAGTGCAAGTGTGTGGGAGACTTGTTGAATAATGTATAGCACCCAATGGAAAGAGCAACAGACCTCTGGTATTTGAATTACTGCTCCTCCAGACTCTAAAAGTAAATGATTACTTGTGTCTTGCAGAATCTGGGGGCTCTATCCCCAGGTGCAAAGTGCATTTTCCAGGTTTCTCTAGGGCAAAAGCAGGATGAATGCCCTCATTAAACCTGTGCCTAATGGTGAAGAGCAACTGTCCACTTTCAGCATTTATGAATAGAAGTCTCTGATTGGTGTAGTCCAGCAGAATGCCCACTCTGGCTGGGTGTTCAGTCACATGAACGTCACTCACAATGCCACTGTAGAAAAATGTGTATCTGAAATTAAACACAAGGAAACAGAAACTTTAGACAGCTTGAAGGAACATGACAAAGAAAATCACTTGGAAATAACCAATTGTTCAGTTACTAACTTCAATTTACAATAATGAGTTACAATAATGTTGTCCAAAATTCTTATCAGGTCCCTCCTAGTTGCTAAAATGTACAGCTCATCCCAACAGACAAGCATTCTTAATAATTTTGCTCCTTCCACTTTAGGAGGCAATCCCAGAATAACCAACATATGCCTCCCCTGTGATTTTTCTCAACATTCTAATTCTTTCCCAGCTGCCCACATGTTTTAACTACTGTATTCATGGTGTGTCATTCTTTTGAATAAAACTCCTTTCAGGTTGCCATGTATTTTAAAAAGTACCGCAGGCTTGCCTTCTATACAATGTATTAATTTTACAGTTAAAAAAAATTATAGGTAACGTACATAAGGGCCTTTATGAAGTTTAAGAAAGATTTTATTCTTTTTGCCCAACTTCGTCCTTTGTTTATGCTCCCTCTGCCCTAAAACAACTTTCCATTTCATCTTCTCAATGTTTTCTGCAGACTTGTAGCAAGGGGGCTTGCTTTTGATATCTCCCTTCAACTCAGACAAATTTCATTCAATGAATATTACTGAACATATGTGAAGGTCCAGCATATTACTAAGTGCTAGATGGGGGTGGGGTGGGGTGGATGAAGGACTATAGCATACCGTCCTTGCCTCTCTCTGGGAATCTATACTGTTTATGCCTTAAACATGGATTATGAATGAGAATTCATCTCAGGCAGAGATTGGTAAAGTGTTTATTAAACACATTTAATAGACCTTTTATGAATGTGAAAAGCTCAGAGGGAGAAATTGCTGAAAAGAAGAAACTAAATTGCTCTGTACCTTAAGTTTGGTGCTTTCTCCTGGCAGTCTTAGAAACTGAGGGGGGAGGGCCTGAAACCAGGGGAAGAGAAAAAATGAGAGATGGAAGAGAAGAAAAGAGATGAAGGAAAGGTCTGTGTGTATGGCAGGGATGGGACGTGGGCAACACAGCAACACTGGGTGGTCTGGGGCCTAAGAATCTGGGTAAGTGACTCTGGAATGTCAAGGAAGGCCAAGGACCTTGAAGTCTGTGATGTCCATCTTAAAGGTCCAGAAGCTTGCATGCAACGTGGATTAGGGGGGGAAGGTAATTTGGTAACTTCATTCCAGAATGAAGCTCAGATAGAGGGGCAGTGGTTGTGAGGATGAGGAGATAAGTGAAACTTACACAATGATAAAGGATCTTTTCAGTGCCTTGCTAATGGGAGATACAATGGCACATTATGAAGTTCTGGTACCTATAGAAGGAGTTTTGATGGTGCAGTGGTTAAGGCATTTGGCTGCTAACCAAAAGGTGGACAGTTTGAACCTACCAGCCACTCTGCTGGAGAAAGATAAGGCAACCTGCTTCTGTGAGGATTTACAGACTCAGAAACCCTATAGGGCAGCTCTATTCTATCCTGTAGGATCACTATGAGTCCAAATTGACTCGATGGCAGTGGGTTTGGGGACCTGTTGGATGCAAATGTTGTGGGTGACAACAACAGGGTTCTTATAGAAGGCTTTCTGGAACAGATGGGCTCATAGTCAGCCATAAAGAACGGGCAGGACTGGTAGTGGAAAAGATGGTGAAGAGGTCTAAGCAGTGGGGCCAGCAAAAACAATTATGGAGTGGCAAAGCAAGCCTATATGTTGTAGAGAATATCACTGGTTGCCTGATAGGTTTGGAGGGACATGGGAGTGACCTTAAGGATATTACACAGAGATGTAAGCTAGAGCACAGGCTCTAGATCTGCCCTGTCCAATATGGCAGCCACATGTGGCTATTTAATCTAATTAAAATTAAATAAAATTTAAAATTCAGTTCTTTAGTCCCACTAGCCACATTTCAAATGTTCAATAGCCACACGTGATCATTTTTCTATTTTTGCAGAATGTTCTATTACACAGATGCTCTGGAGGACTCTAAATGCCCAAATGAGTCATTTTCTCCTCCTGCTTAGAAAGTTCCTGGTGTCCACTTGCCCAGAACTGATCAGCCCCTCAGCCAGTCTTCACCATGGAGAGAAGATACTACTTGAGGCATTGGCTCTCCACCCGTTCCACAGAACCTGAACTGTACCCTGACTTATTTCTGCTTATTTCCTACTGAGCACTTTAGTTCCTCAACTAACATGAATGCTGCCCTGAAACCAAGTCTGCCTGCCTGGAGCCAGACTTCCTGCCCAATTTTTGCCTGGAACTGTTGGTCCCTGTTCAACCATTGTCCATCCAAAAATATGACTCTTTACGCATGAGACTGGAACCGTCTATCTTGGAGCCCCATCCTCAGACTGGACTCACCCCTCACTGCTAGCCTACATTGAGCCCAGATCCCTTTGGACACTGATGACTACTCTCCCTAAGGACTCCTTATCCCCAATCTGGTCCTCTTCACTGTGCCCTAAAGTTGGTCCCAGCAGAGCTCTGACACCACTGCAGATTTTGAGCAGAAATGGAAGGAACACAATGCAATGGTGTTTTAGAAGTATTTGCTTTTGTGATACATAGGGTAAAATGGAGTGGGTAGAGACCAGAAGCAGAGATACAAGCATGGTGGCTATTACAGATACTGGTAAAAGAGGTGAGAAGGCTTGAACTTAGGTGGTAGGGTTAGGAATGGACAGGGAAGAAACAAATGCAAATGAAGATGATTCTTCCTCCTTAGGCTCTTTTCATTTATCCTTTCCATTATAACATCTTAATGCTCAGATTCTGCTTGAGTAGAATCAAGAGTAGTATAGCTTTGTTTAAAATCATTAAGCCAAAAAAGGTGAAAAATAATAGGAAGGTGTGCTGCAACAATACTCTCAGCTTCCTAAAGGCCAGGGGTGCTCTACCTGAAGTCCCTTGAATGTGGAATGAAGACACCTGAGACCTGACCTCCAGTGCTGTGACCACACAGGCTAGCACACTTCTCCTCTCAGTCCTATCCTGAACTGGAAAGAGCCTAAAACCACAGCTGTGGATTGAATTGCCAACAAATTACACAATTCTGCTTTCTAGAGACTTATTGTTGTTAGTTACCATCAAGTTGGTTCCGAGTCATGGTAACCCCTGTGTGTGGAATAGAACTGTTCTATAGGGTTTTCAAGGCTGTAAGCTTTCAGACAAAGACAGACTGGAAAGAAAGAAGGGCCCATCCATTTCTCAAAAAATTGGCCAGTAAAAATCTTATAGATGGATTGACACAGTGCCTGTAGTGATGGGCTCAAGTATGATTCTTGTCAAGTATAACAAGGACTGTGAGGATGGCACACAACCGGGCAGCATTTTGTTCTGTTGTACATAGGATCACTATGGGTTAGAGTAGACTTGATGGCACCTAAAACAACAACAACCATCACGTTTCAGAAGCAGATCACCAGGTGTCTCCCAAGGCGTTTCTGGGTGAATTAGAACAGCCAACCTCTTGGTGAGTAGTCAAGTACTTCAAGGTTAGTCTTTGGGTTAGATTTTTAAGGGCTCAGGGGTCGAAAGACGTTTTCATGAAATCAAACCCTAGTTCCAGCTCCAAAACTACTGGTTGTAAGCTTTGGGTTTGAATGATTTTAAACCCTGGGCAGGCATTGGTTCCTTAAGCATTGCACATCACTGAATATCAATCATAATTGCTCTGATTTGATGAAATGTGACTTTAAATAGCACTTGGAGATGGCATCCTATGAACCATCTCAGAAACTCAAGCTCTGTCAAGGAGAATGCAAGAAGAAATGTGCAGCCAGAGATATGCAAAATCCCAATCTGTGGGCCTTTTTCAGAGAACTTGCAAACACTGAAGGCTTCCTTTTTAAAGTATTACATTTGAATAATGCTGCACATTCAGATGGTACTTTACAACTTCAGAGCTCTTGCCTGTACCCAATTTCATGTGATCCTTTAGTTATAACCACAAAGGTAGCAGGCCAGGCATTACATTATTAGATAATAATATCTAATAATAATAAAATATCAAGGCCTATAAGTTAGGCTCAAAGAGTCAATCAGCTTCACAATGAGCAGCCCATAGAAGGCTAGCCCAGGGTGGAGCCAAGACTAAAACTAAGTTTCTGGCTGTCAGTTCAGTGCTTTTTCAGTTACACCATTCTGCAAGCGTATTCACATTACATACATATATAACAAAGGAGCTCTGGTAGCATCATGGATAAGGGACTTGACTGCTAACCAGAAGGTCAGTGGTTCAAACCCACCAACTGCTCCATGGAAAGAAGACTTCCATAAAGATTTAAACCCTCAGAAACCCAATAGGGGTCACTATGAGTCAGTAATGACTTCATGGCAGTGAGTTTGGAGCTTGGTTATGTATATAGCATGTTTGCTTTATCTTGTTGAGGCTAACACAGTTTAATCACCTTTGTGTGTGTGTGTGTGTGTGTGCTTTAGGTGCAAGTTTACAGAGCAAAGTTTGTTTTACATTCAACATTTCATGTACATTTGGTTTCACTCCCCATTTATCATCCCCAACCCCTAACCCAGTCTCCTCCCCTCCCTGCCCAGTAAACCCCCAGTCCCCTCATAGTTACACACTCCTGTGTGTCTTGCATTTCCTCCGTGCAAATGTTGCCCCTTTGGTGCCCTGTGGTCTATTGGTCCAAGGGATGCATCTCCATAGAGTATATGGATGTGTCACCCTGCGTTGAGTAGTCTGCATGTACCTCTTATTTACTATAGGGCTAGGAGCCAGCCCCTGGAAGTGAGTTTTATTCCAGGCCCAAAATGTATCCCAGGGCCATAGTATTGGGGGTCTCACCAGACTCCATCCGACCAGTAATTATGGTCATTATTGTGTTTTGGATTTTGCTTCACATTTTTCCTCCCACTCTATCCAGGATCTCCAGCTTTAATCCTTTCCTGAGTGGTTGGCATTGGTAGGTGGGCACCATCTAGTTCTTCTGGTCTCAAGGTCCATCATGTCCTAGGGATGATTGCTTCC